TTGAAGCCAAATAATAGGATAGCTTAGGAAGTCACCGAAGTTCTCCTTCGGATCTGTGGCATCCTCTAGTATTTCCTTCTTTGGACTCTAAAATAAAATGTTCCAAATTTGAACCAATCCCCCTTCACACTTCTTAGTCCAATATCTTTGAAATGTCCTTACCATTTGAACTCCTTGAAGATAATTTTTCTTGATTTTTATCGAGAGTATTCTTAGGTAACTTTAATTATCTAAGATATAATTAACTATAGTGGCTTGCCCTTATAGGAAGCTTTTCCCGAACCCAGCATAACATAAACCCTATTTAATTCCTTATATTAAATAGGAGAACTTGTCGGCCAATACATTGGTTTCGCAGACCAAACGGATGTCATAACTCTTTTTAGTTTATTTGATCGAACCTCACTCTCAATTCTTGCGTTCATCCTTCGAGATAGATACATGATTTGAGATAAAGTGCTCTTTCATCTAAACTATGAAAATTATGGGGTCAGTTTGACTTCATCTTTTTCAAAACTAAATTTTTTTAAAAAAAACGTCCTTCCGAAGCGGGCAACGGGATTTCAATTCCGATGACCGATAGCTTCTTACGGGCAAACCCCACACCAAAAATAGTGTCGACATGACACTATTAAAAATGTTGCATTTAACTCTAGTTTTTAATTTCTTCCCTGCAACCAGGGGATGAGAGAACTATTTTCTGATTCTAGAGAGGAGAGAGAGAGAACTTGTATCATATTGATCCGAAACTCGGACTTTCCCTTTTTTCCTTGCTTCTCCATGCATAAGAGGAAATAAAAAGAATTTTAAAATTATATTTCATGTCTCACTGAAAAGATTGCAACATGAATATCAAGTAAAACTCTAAGTTATGATCGGCAAATTTTCTTCTATGTAATAATGATATTCTCTAGTAGCTGGTTCGTCTCGAGTTAATTCAATTACTTCAACACGTGAGCTCAACTCGATCATGTCAAGCTCAGCTCAATCACGTCAAGTTCAGCTTGAACATGTCGACTGGTAGGCTCAGTTCGACTACTTGAATAATTTATCTCAATTAGATCACTTCAATAGGAGAGGTCAGCTTAAAATTGACTAATTTTTTGATATGGGCTTCTTCTGTCATTCCAGGAAAATACATAATACTCTTAAAATTCCTTTGCCATTTTCAGCTTCATTATTTCTCTCTGTTTTTTTTTTATTCCATACAGCATTAATACGTAGCAAGTGTTATGTTCGTTTCTACACAAGATCACTGTTTATTTGAATAAACACAAGGCTTTACTGAACCCATAGATCACAAAAGTCAAAAAATCCGGATATATGTATTATATCAGGATCTAATTGCTTTGATGATACACACTTGATTAAATGCGTCATAGTGCAATCAAATACTTATATAAATATAATTAAATTTATTAAATAATAATAATTAAAATAAAACGCTAGAGGGAGGGCTTGAACCTCCGACCTTGTGGTTAACAGCCACACGCTCTAACCAACTGAGCTACTCCAGCCACAGTTGCTGAGATTAATAATAAATATATATTTATTATAAAACTAGACACTATAATTAACGCGCAAACAAATATTTTACAAAAAGAAACTCAAAAATTGCATTGACTAACCAAAACTACATTAGCTTAATTTAAAAAAAACCCTAAGCCAATGATTAATATCCATATTAATCATAACATTCAAAACCAGATTTTTTTTTCAATCTAAGCCCACAAAAATCTCTTTAAACTTCTACAACAACAACAATGGAATCTAACAAAAGAGAGCCGTCGTGTCCACAGGCTTCACTGCTCCAATGCAAGCTGCCTGTGCCGGTGGAGATCCGTTACATAACTCGAGCAGGAATAGTCCTGCAAATCACAGGCGTCAAAGAGCAGCTGGCTCGGCCTCGACGAGCTCCTGTGTTCCGATCTCTCCCCTAAGGATCCGCACGACCTGCATTCCAGATCCAATTTCCAGTCATGAAAAGCTCTGGTAGGTTCATCTAATTAACATGACTGAGAAGTTTTTTTTAAGGCATCAACCGTGTTCATGCTCGGCCTGGAGGTTGAGATGTGGTGGATGCACATTGATGCTACTGATATTAAAAGCTTGAGATCTTTAGGGTCAGGATCGTCTCCGAATGATGGATCGGCCAATCCCTGGAAGTCATCGGCGTCGAGAAACGGCTTCGCCTGGTAAGCAAAGCATGATTAGCAATTGGTTATTTAAACCTATCTGGGATTGTGTGAGGCGCGAATGAGAAACAAAATTTTGCTTCAGAATTATTCCCTACTTTGATCCATTTTTATAAAAACCTAGAAGTGTTCCATAATTGGAAGAACACAAAATGAGGAGCAATATAATTAATTCTAACTGCATTGACATACATAGCACTCAATTCTTTTGTATTTGCATCTCACACCCAAATTTTCTGTTATGAAAAAACGACGATAATAAAGCGAAAAATAGATCTAGAAAAACGACACAAGATTTACGTGGTTCGGCAAATTACCTACGTCCACGTAGCTGCAGAGGATTTTATTAAATTTGAGGATTACACCGTCGAGCGTCTCGACGTTACAAGAAAAATTCTCTCCTTTCTCTCTCCTCTCCTCTCTCCTCTCTCCCTCCTTTTTCTTCCTCCCTTCTCTCTCTCTTTCTCTCAAGCCACAGCCACGTGATGGAAGAATTAAGAAAGCAAAGGAATTACTTCCTTCTTAGCAAACCCCAAAAAACAAGAGCAGCTTTTACCACTTTTTCTTGCAAGCTTACAGCGGAGAGATGGGAATAGGTTGGAGAGATATATATTTTACAGGCCTTTTGCCTTGCTTTTTATAAGAGGTACAAATAAGCTTTTAAAGGTAATTCCCAATGAGAAAATTGTGTGAGGGAGAGATCTTTGGCGGGAGAATATTGGGGAAGCAAAATAATTTGCAAATATCCCTTTCCTCATGTGCCAACCTAAAGATGGCAGGATCCGTAAAAGGGAAAAGGGGAGGCGGGATACATGAGGAAGAAGCGGGAAGCTCTAATTAGCAAGTTAATTAATCACATAATTAACACCTTAATGTCTTTCCAAAAGAGGAAGTGCACAGGGCTTCACATCCTCAACACTTTCATTTTCACACACAACATTCAAATCTTTAATTGATATAGGTTTGTCAAGAATCATCAATTTGGTTATGAAAAATTGATGCCTTTGCCTAGAAAATACCTTGAAAGACATGCCTTTGATTTAAAGTTTGTAAGGATATGGAAATAGAATTATTTGAGAACGGAATGTTTATAGATTTAGGTGACAATCAACTTCAATATGTTTGCTTCTCTCATGATATACCGGAAAGGCAATAATTTGGATGGCATTGATTTTGCCAGCATGTAAAGTGAGATTTTCTTGAGGAGAACCAAGTTCAGATAGAAGTTCACATAATATGCCGTAGACAATCATTGTTTTCAGACTCGATAGATGATTTAGATAAATGATCTTGTTTCTTATTTTTAAAAAAACACCAAAAAACATGCACTTATCATGTGATGGACCAATGGGCATCTAAACATCCAACCTAATCTGCATCACCATGTCCCTCCATAGAAAGAAGAGGACCATGTGAAAAGAACAAACAAAAGCTGTCTCAATAAGATAAAAATAATTTTACGAATGGCAGGAAATTGTAAGTGAAAACGATACTTAATAAATTGACTTGTTGAACTAGGAAGGAAATATACAATCAAATAATGCTCAAATATTGGGTACTAGATGTTATGAAAAACGACAGCAATAAAGCGAAAAATCAGATCGAGAAAAAATTACAATACAGAAAACAACAGCGGAAGCCCATCATGATTATTATCTTCTCCCTTTGAGTGTAATTGCTTTCAGTGATCACTTACTAGAAGGAAAAATCGGAAGCTTCTTCTCTTATTGTCCTTGCATATTTCTTCTTCGGTGGCCTTAGAAGGAGAGATAGGGAGGAAGAGAGAGAGAGGGAGAGAGAAAAATATTGTTCTTTCTTGTAAATGTCAAGGTGATCAACGGTGTAATTCCTCAAGCTAATAAAATCCTCTGCAGCTCCGTGGGACGTAGGCAATTTGCCGAACCACGTAAAATTTGTGTGCTTCCGCTGTATTTACTATATTGCGATTTTTCTCGATACGGCTCTTCGCTTTATTGTCATCGTTTTTCACAACAACTGTTATCAGAGCTTTGGTTCGGATTTAAGAAAGAACGATGTGCGGAGACGAACTGATGACATTGGGGATCAAGAAATTCAATGATACAGATTTTGGTTATTAGAAGATGCAGATAGATGACCACCTCTAAGGGAAAAAACTTCATCTTCTGTTATTGGAAAAGAAGTCAAAAAAGATGGACGATGCAGAATAAAATCTGTTGAATCGACAGATTTTAGGGTTTATACGATTAACCCTGTCAAGATCTGTTGCCCATAAGTCATAAAGGATATGATTATTACAGATCTCATGACGACTAGATATGCATGAAAAGTCATCTGTGAATAACAAAGTACAGTTGATGAAAAAGTTATTCAAATTGAAAATGGCGGAAGGAGTGTTTGTTGCTCAACACCTAAATTATTTCAATAATATCACAAATCAATTGTCGTTTGTTGAAATTGATTTTGATGATAAGATTTGTACGCTGATATTGTTGGTTTCATTGTCAAATAGCTGAGAAGTTATGAGCATGACACTTAACAGTTCCACAGGTAAATCTAAACTGAAATATGATGATATTCGTGATTTGATCTTGGTTGAGGAGGTGCGGAGGAAAGATTTTGGAGAGGCATCTGGTTCAAGTTCGACACTGATTGTTGATTTCAGAGAGAGATTACAGGACATGAACTCAGACAGAAGATCTGTATCAAATTCTGGCTAGCAGACAACCTGCTGGAATTGTGGCAAGACTGACCATATAAAAAAGAACTGCAAGAATCCTATGAAGGAGAATAATAACTCAAATATGGTAATTGAAGAGATACATGATGCGTTATTTCTGACAATGCACAGTTCCATTGATGACTGAATACTGGATTCAGGAGCTTCCTTCCATACATCTTCCCACCGACAGTTGATGTGAAATTATCTGGCTAGTGGAAAGACTCTGGTAAGAGACGTTGATATTATACTCCCTAACAAGAGCAAATAGACTTTGCAAAAAGTCAGACACGTTCCTGAATTGAAGAAAAACCTCATTTCTGTTGGGCGGCTCAGTGAGGATGGTCATACACGTTCCTGAATTGAACACGTTCCTGAATTGAAGAAAAACCTCATTTCTGTTGGGCGGCTCAGTGAGGATGGTCATTTAGTAGTGTTCTCAGATAGTACCTGAAAAGTTACTAAAAGAGCATTAGTACTCCCTAACAAGAGCAAATAGACTTTGCAAAAAGTCAGACACGTTCCTGAATTGAAGAAAAACCTCATTTCTGTTGGGCGGCTCAGTGAGGATGGTCATTTAGTAGTGTTCTCAGATAGTACCTGAAAAGTTACTAAAAGAGCATTAGTACTCCCTAACAAGAGCAAATAGACTTTGCAAAAAGTCAGACACGTTCCTGAATTGAAGAAAAATCTCATTTCTGTTGGGCAGCTCAATGAGGGTGGTCATTCAATAGCATTTCAAATAGTACCTGGAAAGTTACTAAAGGAGCATTAGTACTGGCTCGGGGTAATAAAACTAACACACTATATATGACTATAAGTTTACTTAGACGTAGACACATGAGTCAAAGGTGCATTATGGGGAAGTAGAAGAAAGTCAGTTTCCTGAAAGGTGGCAAAACGCCAAAAATAGGAAAATCGGATCTTGTACGGACAAATAATGAAGAATCACAGAGCTATGAAAAAATCTTGTAAGATGAAAGTTCGATCAAGTGGGAGCTAATAGAACTTCCACAAATGAAGAAGATATTGAATAACAAGTGGGTATATCGGGTGAACAATGCGTTTGATGACAGTAAGAGGTACAAGACTAGACTTGTTGAAAAAGACTTTCAACTGAAACAAGATATTGTTCATGCAGTGGGAGTTATTACCAGATTCATGAGTATGCCAAGAAAAAGCTTGGAGGTACAAGACTGTGTTGACAATGATATGCCAACTAAAAGTGTTACACTTGAGAAGTTGAAGTTGTGCTCGACTTCAGCTGGTTTTCTAGCTTGAAAACAAGGATTTTGAGTTGCAGAGGTAGGGCAAAGTGGAAGATATCACATTTGAAGAAAAGGGCGACGCAGCCAGTGGATGATGCAGTCAGTATACCGGTTTCTAAGTGAGAGATTTGTTGCGAATATGGAAATCAATCCACTATAAAACTTAATATTTTCTCATGTTTGGCAGCAAATTGGATTTGATATTCAAAATTAATTGCTAAATTAATTGCTCTCCTTCTATGATTTGTTGTATAAGAGAAAATGAAATAATTAATGTGCTTCATTAATTATTTGATTATTTTCTTAATGTGTTTAATGATATGATGTAATTAATAAATAGACATACTAGCTCCCCTTGTAATCTCTCTTTGGCGTTGGTTTTAGAAGGAAAGGAATTACATGTATTATTTTCCCCTTGGCTTCCTTATTTTGTGTGGCTCTCCGGTAGAAAGATAGAGAAAGAGAGGAAGAGAGAGAGAGAGAGTTCTTTCTTGTAAGTCGACGCCGTCGACGGTGTAATTTCTCGAAGTAATAAAATCATGTGTAGGATGCCCGTTTCAAACAACTTCATAGAAATATGTTCCTTGAGATCTCCATGAACAAAGACACTTTTAACCTTCACTTATGAAGTGTTTATTTTGGTGTGAAGCAACAATTGAGATGATTGATACATCTAAAATATATAATATTTTTATACACATTTTTATACTTATTTTTTAGATATTGCGCTTTAAAGAAGGGTATTTGTGTGTTTTTCTTTCAGATACAATTAAATGTATGAAAAATGCTAAAAAGAGTGAAAAAATGATCAAATTTGGAGAAAAAATAAAGAAAATGCAAAAATGAACTAGGCGCCTAAGCCCCCAAGTCTGATGTATATTTAGTTTGAGTGGATTTTTGAAGAGGTGTTTGAAGCAACCCTCGATAAAAACATAGGAAATAACTCATAGACACGAAAATTCATTCAATTAACTTTTGATGAGGCAACTTCTAGAAGATTCATTGAATGAAGATATTTTTTTAAGAGACAC